ATCATCAGCACAAACTTCAAATAGAAGTAAATTGTTTGAATTTCTCCATATGCGTTTCACAGCTTGTTCAGCACACCTCGTAGTTGATTGTTTCTTATTGACCTTAAATTTGTCATTGTTTACTCCTTTGTTTTGGTAGCGTCTCCCATTGGTTTGATTTTTGTTCCTATATTTGTGCACAACACCGAGGTGTACAGAACAAGCTGTGAAACGCACATGAAGAAATTCGAACACTTCACTTCTATTTAAAGTTTGTGCTGATAATGTCGTTCAGAAGAACGATGAAAGCTGTACAACCAAACTATCCAGCACAGGGAACGAACCTCCATCAAAATCATCCACCTGAGCTACAAATCTTCCTCACTATCTCAATACAGAAGTCATTACGTATAAAGATATTTGATTTATAATGATTTAAATACCTTTAAATTTTCTAAATCATATTTTCAATTAAACTAATCTGACTTGCTCTATCATAATGATAGTACACTCAAGTGATTCTATATAATGATATAATTAAATAATCTTATTTAAATTTATATAAGTGACATTGTTTTTTCCACAATATCCATTCATGAATAATAAACAATGATCATTAAAATTGAACCATTTTCATCGACTTCTTAATTTTTTCAAGTATCAATTTAATCTTAGATTTGTCTTCTTTTTTTAAATTAAACCGGGAGTTTTCGCTTTTTTCTTTCCTCTTCTTTTTTCAAACACAAATTACAGTCAAATGATCCTTTTTCTTTTTATTTTTAAAAGAAGAAGTTAGAAAACAATGTCAGTGACAAGAGGTAATTCATTGAAATGAGAATTATATTCAAGTTCAAGTGGAACTGTATAATTTTTATATTGAACTTAAAAAATGATTAACACCACTGCTACCACCACCAACAACAACAACGAAAAATGGTGTTTTCTTTTATGGTTTTAATTTAAAGTTGCCATAGTTAAATTATTTCGCACAAGAAAAAATAAAAGAAGACAAACTACTGGAAAGTAAATTCAGATGATTAGATATTTGCTTAAATTTCTATCCTTGTACGGAATATATCCATGAAGACATTAAATAAGAAAGAGTAATTCAGTGAAGAGTTCTCTTTACGACGAATTCATTTTCCAAGCTGTACAATCACAAAGATATATATATATATATGTAAGATCCATTTTTAATGTTTTGTGTGTTTGTGAAAATCCCTCCATGTATATACTTGCACTTTGTTCCTATTGATCCCCTTAGTTGTACATTGTTGTCTTTCGATTACATTTGAATTGTTAATACTTGTATTTTTTATTATAGTTTTGTTTTTCTTACGCATTCACTAAGTTTGTGTTTCTTCCTGAACTGCATCTGTGTTGTTTTACTTGACACTTGTTCTTGGCGGTAGCCATATTGATTTGCTCCTCCCATTGCGTGTGTTCTATCCAGTCAGGATAGAATAACGTTCATTTGTTGTGACTGGTAATTTTCCTTCATCTTTTATCAACTTCTTTATTTATTGTAATTTAGATTTGATTGATTGAACAATTATTAGTTGAATAGCCGGGTGGTAATATTTGTTTAGGTAACGATTTACATTTAATTTTATGATGAATTATAGAACCGCTATTTACCCGATTACTTGTTTTGAATTCGATGGGAAAGGGCGCGTGTCTAACGTACCCGGACGGCTATTCTTCTATCCAAACCGTAGTTTGGATTCTACAATATATACTTTAAAATCCAATAGTACTGTGGTCAAGCATACAGTAAATATACAATTTGTAAGAAACTTATTCATTACTTTTACTATGCAATCGCAATTGATGTTCTAATGGTATTCAACATAAATAACTGTTTTTGAGATAGGTGGTTTTGTTCATATTTTGTATGAATTGAACTAACTGACTTAATTTGAAAAACAACAGTCACAAACTAATACAAAGCAAGTTTACAGAATTTATCTTGTCAACATTTAAACAGACATTTCGTTTAATATCATTGTCCAATGTGGACTACACTGTTCAAACATTCAAACTAATGTGGTGAAAGTCTACTAAATAATATCAATAGTAATGTTATTCATGTGACCTAAACAATGGGATGATAGGATGTTTAGCAAGTTTATCAGTGAAATTATTGTACGATGCAAATTCATTACATATTTCATATACACAAAAATGACCAGTTATTCCTATGTTAAATGATTTAAAGGGTTGAATTCTCTGCCTAGAAAACATTTAGGAAGTATATATGCATATGTAAAATAATAATTTTTTTAAGCAATAGTTCATATCATGAACTGATCTTAGCTAGACCACCACTGAAAACCAGAAAACTTTGAACAACTACTTTGTTATAGCATAGCATTACTCAGTAATCCACATTTACGAACCTAGATCATGATTTCAACTAACTGAAAAGAAAAAGATGTAATCAAACTGTTTAAGTCATTTAAATTGCTAAGGCAGTTGAAGCTTAAATACTGGCTCACTATGAATATTATGGTCAAATACAAGCATTCTAACTACTGTGTTTTCCGTGCAGCCTAATAAAATAAAACTGACTGTTTATCATTCACTTTCGCCTCGTTAGTTAGATCATCATCAATCCTCGTGTCCAGCAGGTGACTTGCCGTTGAACTACGAAGTCTACTTACCCATAAAAGCCTAAGTGTTTGGATTCTGAGTAAATTAATAGATGATATATTATTGCAAATTCTACTGTGTTTGAGGACTTTAAGTAAATATTGGATAATAGTGACATATCTGTTCAATGCTTCTAAGTTTTCTGACTCATAACAATTTCTAAAAAATAACACTGTTTACAAAGTGTTTGAAATTATGTACCAAACCATTAGTTCAATTTGTATTTGAATATAAACTTATTAAAACCCTTGATAACCAGTACAATGCTTTGTAAGTAACCAATCAGTCAGTGAACTGGAAGAATATATAAGTGGTGCGCGCGCGAGAGAGAGAGATAGAAAGAGAAGTTAATAAATTGTAAGCGGTAATAAAAATAATCATAACAATAATAATAATAACTCGAAATGAAGAATTCACTTCAAATATGTTTTTATATGAGAAACAGTTAGATGGATAGAAGTATATTATTATTTAATTTATCATAGTAATTGACTGTTATTTTCAACATACTTATGATCTAATTTATTTACCTCAAGTTCTATTACAGTGTTTGTTTGTTTGTTTTTCATCTTCTTGTTCTTGTTATTACGTTCCCTTATTTATTTAGAATATATACATAAATCTAATGTGGATGAACCGTCTTCGTTTGTCAAATAACGAAATAATCACTGTAAAAATGGATTTCATAACGAGAAAACATAAACATCCTCATGAAAAGAAAAAAAACGCCTAAACATTAAATTCAGTTATGTTTCACTTAATATAATGAGTATGATTTATTCAGTGATGAGCGGAAGGTTGTGTACTTGAGTAGATGAAAAACGCCGACTGTAATATACTTCTTTAAATAGTAAATTACTATATGACTTACTACAAAGTGAATAAGTTAACATCTTGTAACTTCATTTAAGTGTTCAAATGTATTATTGTTTTCTGTAGTTATCATTATCAAAAACAAAAAATTCGAATATAACTAGTTTATTGAAATAAATACTGTTTTCATTCATGCTTCCATCTTTTCTATTTAGTTATACACTATCTTATTTCATTTCCTTTCTCGGAAGTAGCGTTTTGAAATGTGTTTATGCCTTTGGAAATTTTAAACTCAAATATGTAGTCTTGAAGGTTTTTTTAATTGTATTCGACGACATCCCCTGTTGTTGATATTCATAACAGAATATCGAATAATCTTTGTTGATATATGTGTATCCTGCAGGAATTTGCTCGATATATACCGATATTATCACGAGTTTTATTGAACAGCTAAACTGTGTTTACTAGTAGGACCAAGGACGAGCGTTTTCTGTTATTTTAAACTCCTAAAATGGATGTGCCTGCATTATTACACAAAACTAATCAAAAATTTAGTCAATAATATTGGCAACGGGATAATTGAAACTATTACAAGTTATGTTAAAATCCATGCTCAATGAGAAAACTAGTGACTGTCCGAACTTAGTAGCTCATTCAATAGCTCGTTGGGCGTTTGTAGAGAAAAGCACTAGGCTCGAGTCTCGGTTAGAAAATTAACACGGGAATGCAAGTGCATTCAAATGTTAAGTCCCAGAAGGTGCGAAATGTATATCTCGTATTCCACTATTATTCATCTTCCGTCTACCCAGTGCAAACCAATTTTATACACATGCTTCTTACTTATCTCTTAAAGTCTATTCATACTCATTTGGTTATGAACTCTTTTCACAAAAAACTTTTAACAACTGCTCTACGTTATTTTCAGTCTAACCAAATGACGCGTGTACATTATTAACAAAGATGTTTCTTTTTCTTTTGGCAGTTCATTTTAAATATATTAATAGAAGAACAAAGATCACATATAATCTAAATAACGTTTAGGTAAGTTTTAATAATAGAACATTTTCTCTATCTGATGTAGCATCATAGTATGAAACCCAAGACTTAGCTTTCAAAGTAATTCGAACGTGTTTGTTATGTAAACACAATATTATCCACTGTTAGAATGAAAAGCGTTAACAATAATGATAAATGTTATAATCCTATCAGTACTATGAAGTAAAAAACATAACCTTGTTCATCACCAAATTTATGTAAATTTTATACTAAAGAACAAAATGCATGATTAGTTGAAAAGAAATGTAAAAGGCATACGAATTGACAAAGCGAATATACTGAAAACCAATAGTTTAAAAATATACATTACGTGTTATCAGTCATGATGATAGTGTAAATGATAATTAAGTGAAAGAAAAACTATCATTATTAGGATAGTCATATGATGTGCTGTATAATCAAAGCAATATGGTGCATATATGATTATTGAATAATGGTGAATTGTGCGTGCATTTGTATCAAACACAAACCTTGAAGAAAAAAACACAACACAAACTAACCTGATAATACAGAGTAACATGTATTTTGATTACATTCATGCTTTTCAGCTAACGCTATTTTGTTTTATTGAAGAAACAAGAAAAATCAAGTGAAATGATCTTGAAATAAGCTTTATTGTTTTCAAAAGTAAGAAAATAAATAAATTGACAAACATTATGATGCTTGTTTCCATGACAACATCCCATAAGACGAGATTTTGTATGGATAAATAGTTATACAAATATTTTAAATATTATCATTTGTCAGTGCAAAATAAGATCACATGCCACCGATAGATTACCTTTGATCTTGGTACAAGTTTATAAGAATGAAATATTATACTTAAGCTTATAGTAAACTGAAATTTATGTAATTTTATTAGTTGAGATCATGAGTCAATTGAAGCTAGAACACTATGAAAAACCTGGAAGTACTGGTCGTTTCGTCCTATTTATTCATGATCTCAGCTATTAAAATTACCATAATATTTATAAAACCCCTTCTGATATTAAAATGCATGTGTTTACAGAAAAGGCATTTTCAAGCCACAAATATTCTGTTTGTAATTTTGTTAACTAATTCAAAAATATTGACTTTTTTCTGATTTACCGAGGTTTGTGTGATGTGCCGGAGATAATGCTGTGGTTCTTTCGACCTTTCTCAACCCAAGATGATGTGTATATAAGCAATATTAAAACATCTTTCTTTGAAAACGAAATATCAGAAATGGTTTATGAAGTCATGATCATAAAAATGTCTAAAATAACACGGTAAATGATTAGAATAAGGAATCAGTGTTTGGATCACGGGTACAAAAATACCACAAATGAATGGTTGCTGATTATCAGTCTACAAGACCAAAGTAAGTAAACGTCAATCGGAGATCCTAAAGAGGATTATTTTCATATTAAACCATGAGAAAAGATTAAACATTCTCTTTACACCTTTTTAGAATGACCTCTGAGTGACAGAATCGAATCAGAAATGACTTTGGGGATTTACCTTTATATTTCAAACTTTATATTTATATAATTTAAGGGTTTCAAGAATTATTCTCAGTTAAAAATTATTACCATGAAACTGAGTTTACATCGAGAACGCCTTGAATAAAACCTCTGAAATGAATTCAGGTGTTTATAATAAGTAACACTAAATTCATTATGTTGTTGATGTAATAGAAACCGTAGAAACAACAAAGTAAAAGTTTATCGGTTAGTTGCAACTTGGAACAAAATGAAGTAGAAACCATTATTAAGAAGAAAAAGTGCAAATATTCAATTAAATTAACAAAAATATAACCAGTTAAAAGGAATTTTATATATTTTGTTTTGAAGTTAAGGTAGCTAATGGAAAATCTAAAAGTCACTTTTTATTGGGTTTTTATTTAAAATAGCTTTTTAGTTTATGTCATCTTGAGATATATTTGAAAGACTGTGGTACTATATGTAACGAGAACGATTACCCTAAACTATGTAACATAGTGCATAGCGTTTATTATATTTGAGACTTATCACCTGTATATAGTTTCATTTCCAGCGTTGATACTCACATTGATATTTCAAGCTGGTAAAAATCCCTTCAGTCTCCAGTACGAAATCCACTGACCTACTCAATAAAAATAATTACTGACTGATTCATCGAGTGTAAATTTATAATATGAAGGTCACTTTACAATAGGAAAGGAAACTGATCAGGATGCACATTAGTCATAAGAAACCTATCCTTTGCATACAGCTGGTTACTTTCAAAAATGTAAACTTTGAGTATAAACAGAAGTGCACTGTGGAGCATTTTTAGGATAATTGAAAACTACTTAGCATGGCTACAATAGTCCATGAGTTCTTGAAGTTACACTGTATCTAGAAAAACGTATATTTGAACTTAATGTTAGTCTATTATCGCCACTTTTTATAGACTAATCTTTGCTATTATGTTTTACCGGTTAAAAACTGATCTTCTTTTTCTATACTTCATAAACATTAAAAGTTACAAGAAAATATCTGCAAAAAAGGTCTTTTCCCTACCTTCTTAAATTCCATTTTATACAATATTTTGTTACTATATCGTTTAAATTGTTGTATGTTCTTAAAAAATCAGCTTCGTGAATAAATGACCACTTGAATAATTCACATTATCTTACTGTTAATACTTATCTACACTACATACATTAACTCGATTATGGTGAAATTAAATATAAACGTTTATTTGATCATTACGCAAAGTTCAATTTACTCCACATTTTTTTCTAAAAAGAAATAAGATGCATTTTAAATTATTTCTCTGTCTTGTCTTCTTCTTCTTCTCCTTCCTCTTTTTTCTTTTTCTTCTTGTTTTGTCTTTTTCTCTTATGTGCTTTTATAATTTATTTATTTATTTATTTTTTAATGTCTAAGTTAACAATCATTTGAAACTTCAAGTATACTTCAATGAACTGTTCCAAAGAGAGAGAGAGAGAGAATGAAGAAAAAAAACAAACTTCTTAATGAAATTCTATTAAGCGTACTGATGATGATGATGTTATTGTTGTTGACGTTGAGAATATCAGAAAGAAAAAAAATCACCAAATTGAAAACTGAATCAAATTCACTATTATAAAACTAAGGGAAAAATTAGTGGAAGAATACGGAATACTCACAACAAATCATCCATGTAAATGTAATGATTTTAATCTTAACAACAAATATGATTTATTTTAATTAATACTATAAGATAGAATTATATGTATATATGGAGTGATATAAAAGGATTCAATGAGAACAAGAATCATGATCTTTGAATTTAATAAAATGAGTTTTTACATTTGAAAAGTTTGAAAACAAAAACTTATATAACACAATAAAGAAAACATGCAATATTAATCAAGATTAAATTTTACATCAGAAGGGGTTTCAATAGTTGAGATCATGAATCAATGGAAGTTAGACCAATATGGAAAACGTAGAAGCACTGGACGGCTGTTTCGTCCTATTGCGAGACTCCTCAGCAGTGCGTTTGCTTACGAGACCAATAGGTCCTGAGTTTGAATCTCACGAGACAGGATTGTGGATGAACATTGCTGAGGAATATCACTATAGGATGAAATGGTCGTCCAGTGCTTCCAGGTTTTGAGTGGTGTTCTAGCTTTAATGGATTCATGATCTCAACTATTGAAATTGAATTTTGTACTGAGATTAATTTAAAGACTAGGGATTATTATTGTTTTCTTAATTGTTTTTAATGAGGCAAGATGTATATAGAATTTTAAAGATTGTTTCTATTATGAAATGGGTCTTACTAAAAAAAAGCCAAATAAAAAATAAAGTAGTTTTGAGCGGCTGCTGAAAGTTTGTCTTGAAAGTGAGCAATTAATGATTTCATGTTAGACAAAACGTATGTTTCGTAATAAGTACTATACTAATCTATCTGTGATATTCATGATATATGTCATCAAAATATAGTCAGTATAATACTAGAACCTTTTGAAACATGTAAATCAGATGATTGTTATTTATGAATACATAGACGAAAGGCTGATTAGGGAAGGGTAACTTTGGATCAAGGCATTTGCTACCTTATTTAGATGTCCGTACATTAAAAATCACATTCGTTAGAAAATTTTTATGAATACTCCATTAACAGTTGCTACCTCTAACTGGTAAAATGAGTTAGTATTACTCAGGTTTGCTTTGTTAAACAAAGACGAAGGATATGAAAAACCATGCAACCAATTAATTTTAAACTGTATCTATCTGTCTGAGTAAAGCATTTCTAGATTCTCCATAGTATAAACGAGTGGCCTTTATTTAGTGAAGTAAACAAACTTTAACTGGTTTGCACAATTTAAATCCCATAACCATTTGATACAATACAAGTAGAAACAAACTATGTAATACTAATCAGTAATGTAGCTTGCTCATATCACAGAATGATTCTCACAGTTAAATCAGAAATTCGTTTGTTACAGTCAAGAAATTATTTCCTTACATAATTATCAGTTTTATAAGAATATATTATTTCATATAGGCTTTCTTCTTAAAATCATGCAGTGACAAAATTAGAGATAATATTCCCCTGAAAATTATTAAATAATCATCTTTATCATGTAAAGGTCAAATAGATTAGTGTTTTTTACTACAATCAAAGTTTGGATTTATGTATAGATAAACAGGAGTATGTTATTCAATAGGTCAAACCAACTTGATTAATTGCAGTGGTTTCCGTGACAAGAAATAATAATATTTATACATATAAGTTAAGAAACCCATCAGATCTGGTTAGCGAAAAAAAGTTTTTAATTAGGATAAGCAGAACTTTTATACTGAATATTCTTTATTATATATAATGAGATTCTATCAAATAAATGTTTCTTCAGTCTCGTTTGAGTATTTGGGCTACCTGTTCCTGCCATCTAGATATTTCAACAAGTTATCTATTTTTGTTTGTTTTAATATGTCGTTATGTCTATTAATCGCATAACTTATTCTGCTGCGTTTCTGAAAAGTGTACAACCTTTCGTTGTCAAAGTTACAAAAAACTCAATAAGAGACAATATGGTTGTTGGCAATATACAACGAAAAGAATGCACATTATTCATCGCCAGGACCGACCAAGAAGAAAGAAACGGAAACTTGTTGAAATACTTTGCGCTGAGAATTCTATATTGTACCAAAAATATAATATTGAATAAAGCTGATGATAATAATAATACTGAACTAGCACCATGGTGATTGATTTTTCCCGATTTCAAAGGTTCTTTGAATAGTTTTACATAGATATATTTCATTATGGAAATAATCTATTTGAAAAAAAGGATTAAATATCCAGCTGAGTTAACACATAATTTGAAACATTAGACAAGTAATTACTGGTACAACACTCAAGCACATAACACTTAATAATTAACCCTTCAGCTATAATTAACATTGAATTGATTTAACCAAATCTTTATATTCATTTTTCAGTAGGCTTCAATTGTATTTAAAGCAAATCAATAAACTTGCCTAAATCTGTTATCAGCACAAAGAGATGGTACATGTACAGTATAAGGAAATTAATCACTTAAGAATTTGTTAACGACATCAACTTAAACATATTC